GTTCCACTTCCCACTCCAAGATCTAAATCAATGCAGTGTCCTAAAGAACCAAAACCTACATTTACATTGTATAAATATATCTTATTAACCAAGCGCGACGGCCGTACTGGGAGAATATCGGCCCGAGGTCTTGACAGTACGGACCATACAAAAAAGACCGAGGGTCGATATTCTTCCAGTGCGGTCCCGAGCAAGCTTGGTTAATACGAGTTTTATTATACGACTGAAGTTCAAAGGGACACAAGTGCGGTATCATTCGGGACCATTAGGGACAGTGCCCCGTCCAATACTGAGAGAATATCGACCGGCAATAGAGCATTTTGATTGGTTTATTTTAGTTATTGGCCCTCTGACTGCCCGAGTCGTGTAATAACATCTTCATATTAATTACTGTAACAGGGATAATGGTTGGATGCGTGAAACACATGTATGTCATGAATCTTCATGAGGTGTGTCTTATTACAATGTCCAATGTGTCACAGATGTGTGATATTTGGATATACGACAATAAAAACCTTTGATGTTCTTTGATTTCAATACTTTAATCCACACACTATCCACATGGCAGCCAACAAGTACCACAACAACAACTCTCGGTAGGCATCACGGGATGCTTACAAACATAACCTTTTCACACTTACGGTACAATACACTACATCCCTCCCTGTTTTTCCTTTTTTAGAGAAAAGTCTAAACATAAATAACACAACTTCTACAATGTCTTACATAGAAATGCAGGCTCGGGCCTACTGTTCATAAACAAAGTCCAGTCGGATTCCTAACATAATATCAATGAGCCCACAACAAATAACATTCAGTTATCCCTTAGAAAGTTCGTAGTCGTCAAATCGTTTAGGCGGTCTGACATTCCAAGCTGGCCTCGGACTAACTATCTGCTTAAGTGGACTTCAGATAGTGACAGTGGCCTGCTGAACAGACATCGATGATCCAGTTGGCCCTGGCCTTGGGAGTTCATCCTCCCCTTTTGCTACTTCTGTTTGGTTTGTTCCTTCTTGCTCTCGATGGACGGGCGTGATATCGACTTTTGCCTCCAAGGGTTTCTCTTGATACTTTTTCACAAATGAGACATTTCTTTTTATTTCGGCACCAGCTGTGCTTCTAATTGTTACCTCTCCTCCTTTCCTGTCTATTACTTTGCAAGGATTTGGGTCATAGTTTGGAGACAGTTTGTTAGTCTTCAAGTTCTTCAGGAGTACTTTATCTCCAACCTCCACTTCACTTGCAACAGCAATTCTCTTTGCATCAACATACTCTTTCTGCGATAACTTCCTAGACCAGTCTCGATCGCGGACTTCCTCATTAATGATAGGTGCCTCCCTTCGCAGGTCTGGCAACTTTGGCCGCATTTCCCTTCCAAACATCAGGTAGAAGGGTGTTGCCCCAGTTTTCATCTGAGGAGTTGACCTATATGCGGTTAGGAATGTCTGTAACTCTTGACGCCAATCTTTCCCTCAATGTGAGCTATCTGGAGTGACTTCATCAATGTGCGATTCTGACGCTCTACTTCCCCATTGGCCTGCGGCCATAGGGGAGTTGTTGTGCGGTGTTCTATCCCATTTTCTGCAAGGAAGGCTTCAAACTCTTCAGATACCAGTTGAGGCCCATTGTCAGTCTTGAGTGTATGCGGCACTCCAAACCGGGCAAATATTGGTTTTAGAGCTTCAACGATTCTTGTGCTAGAAGATGACCTCAAAATAATCACTTCAAAATATCTACTAAAAATAATAGTCTATCACCACCCGTAAACTTTCCCCTGAAGGTAAGGGAACCAGAACGGTCAGCTGCACAATCTTCCCAAGGGCCACTGGGAGGAAAAGCTCGAACCATAGGTTCGGGGGGAGCATATTCACTGACCACTTGACGACCATGGCAACTCCTGCGCAGCTTCTTTGCATCAGCATCCATCTTGGGCCACCATACTTTACTGCGCAGTCTACATATTGTTTTAACAACACCCTGGTGTCCCTCGTGGGCCAACTGCAAAACACGCGGTCGCAATTCTCGGGGAATCACTAGCCTGGAACCCCGTAAAAGCAGCCCACCATGCGTACACAATTCTTTCTTCACATGCAGGTATGCAGGTACATTGCACTGACTCCAATCTCCTGTTTGGACACATTCTTTGATGAGGTTCAGCTCCATATCCTAAGCTGATGCTTTTTCTATTTCAGTGGGTGTCAAAGCACAAGGAACACTACTCTCAACCACAGCATACACAAAGCCATAATCTTCTCCGTCATTACTTTGAAACCCACAATTTAGCCTAGACAAGGCATCTGCGATGTTGGTCTTGCCTGGCCTGTAAACAACCTTAAAGTGATAGGCCCGTAGGCGAAGGACCCACCCTTCCATACGGGCAGAAGGCTTCAATTTCTGCGAATAGATGTACTCCAGAGGCTTATCATCCGTCTCAAGCTCAAACTCCTTGCCGAAAACATACATGTTAAAGCATTCGCAAGCCCATACCAGAGCTAGGGCCTCCTTCTCTGTTTGACTGTATCGCCGCTCCACATCACACAGGCGTCACGAAGCATACCCAATCACCCACCATTCACTTCCCTGTAGCTGGGTTAAAACCGCTCCAAGCACCACCTGTGATTCATCCGCCACAATTCTTGTTCTGCTGTTTACATTGAAGTAAGCTAGGACATCCGCGTGCGTGATCAGCTCTTTTAACTTCTCGAATGCCAACTGTTGTTCTTTGTCCCATTTGAACTCCGCATTCTTCTGGGTTAACCTCTGAATGGGTTCTGCAATGGATGACAGATCTGGGACAAACTTAAGACACAAACTGGGCAAGACCAAGGAAAGACCTAGCTTCACTAACATTCTGTGGAGTACCTGCCTGTCTGATTGCTGCGACTTTCTCTTCACTGGGCTCTATACCAGTCTGTGTTACTTCGTGTCCAAATAAGTCAACCTAGGTAATCTGAATTCACATTGTTTCCCTCAATCGATCAAGCACAGCCAAGAGCCTCTTATCATGCTGCTCCTCCCCTCGTCCGTGAATTATCAGGTCATCTGCTATATTAGCCACGCCTTCACAGCCTCACAGTACTTCCCGGATGATTTGTTGGTACTTTTCAGGTGTTGAGGTGACACCAAACTTGAGTCGGGTATATCTATAGAGACCACGGTGAGTCACGAAAGTTGTCACATGTCTACTCTCCTCAGCTAGAAGTATCTGATGAAATCACCGCTTCAGATCTACACGACTGAATACTGTGCTACCATTAAGACCTTGAAGCACCTCCTCTATTGTAGGGATAGGCTGACATTCCCCCACTATTGCTTGATTGGTACACCTCATGTCTACACAAATCCTGAAATCTCCGTCTGTCTTGGGTATAACCACAAGTGGCGAGACCCACCCTGTTGGTCCTTCAGGGACCTCCTCTATAATTCCACTCTCTAACAATTCATCTAGTTTTCTCTCATACACCGAATGAAATCTTGCAGACTGGCTGCACCACCGGCCTCACCGAATCATCGATATTTAACTTTAACTCGTAATCCCTAAGAAGGCCAACACAGTTGAAAAGTTCTTTGTACTTTTCTTT